TGTGATGGCGAACCTATGGCAGTGGTGGCACGCCGAGCCCTCTCTGTGGGCTGCTCTCTTCCAGGTTCTGTTGCACACATGCACACCAGCCAGCTGCTCTCTTCTGGGTTCCGTTGTGCACATGTGTGCCAGCACACATGTGACATGCGCCAGGACCCGGAAGAGCAGCTGGCTACCGCACATGCTCCAATTTTGGCACTTGATGCCAAAAAGGTTAACCATCACTGTTCTAGACACTGCTGAATTATACCTCAAAACTGGCACTGACCAAAAGTGAGGGATAAGGAGAGCTATAATATCAGTAATATCAGGATTGTCACAGATTAGCCACTGTTGAAAAGAGGAGATGCTTTGTTTAAAGAAAGGATGCTTAAAGCTCCTAAACAACTTCCGATCTTTTCCAATATTACATCTTTCTGAAAGAAGTAGTTTTTATTCAAGGCACTTCTTATATTCACGGATATCAGAAAAGGATTTTTTAAACAGATGAAATAATGATAGTTTGCTAAAAGCTTTTTGATAATTTATTAAAATCTGTGATCTCTTATTTCATTCCAATCTCAGCTCTGCACAACATATAGGACCATACAGAGGTGAAGTTCCCTTGACAATATTTCTTTCCTTTCTCAGTCCCTTAATATTTTATCATTAATTTACATGTGTTGAAAGCTTTGTTCTTTGAAATGCCAGACTTGCATAAAATTGTGCAAAGTTCTCATGCAACATCAGAATTAGCACCCCAAAGAAGTGGTAGACTACTGATAACTTAATGCAAGGCATATTTTTGAATTGCAGCTCCTTTGATCCTCCTTGGAAGAGAAGGCGTTAAGCAGTCCAAATAAAGTTGCTTTTCTGATACAAAGCATGTGTACATCTGGCTTCCTTATACCACTTGATATTATTAGAAACCAAAGGACTGCAAAATAATGTTACTCCAAAAATACTCAGTATATTTCCTGAGTGGTCAATGTGTCAACAAATTTTGGAAACATTATGGATTTTTTATTTTTATGCCAAGATACTGAGGTTGGGATTACCTTGCCGAACACCTCTGAGCTTTTATTCAAAAGACTATATGAGCAATAATCTTTTGTTATGGATTCCTTGGATTTTCAAGATTTACTATAGACTGATATCCTGCCTTGTGTATAGGAACTGCAAAGAATATGGAGTGCTCCTATTTCCCCCCCCCCCAACCCTGGGAGATAGGAGTTCAGAATGCCTAATCCAAAATCACCCAGGGAGCTCCCACGTCTGAAGGTGAACTAAAACCTAGGTCTCCTTCTAGATCAATAACTTAATCCCTGCACCGCTCTCGGATTAGATTTTTACGCCGCCTTTCCCTGTTAGATGTCCCAGGATGATTTATCTGGCGTAGTGGTCTTATGACAAATCCAGCTCTCGCCGCATATTTCAACTATATTTACATCACCCGATTGCACCACCTAGCAACCTTGCTTCCCTAGGGGAGCAAATTCCTACCCCACTTCTTTAGTGCTTTTGCGAAAACATATCTCGCGCATTTACAACGAACTCCGGGCTGCTTGGCCGGGGAGAAGACGCAATGCTTTCACCCCACCCCCACCCCCGCTCAGCGGACTGTAAACATTTCCTTCTGCGAACGCTCCCACTTTCCGCGCGGATGAAAGGCCTGCCCGCTGTGCCAACCCCCTCCCTCCCTCCCGCGCTGACGCAGAGAACAAACAATCAGCGGGGACCTCGAGCCCCGCCCCTTTCTAACTTTCTGCGCGGGGAGAATTGGAGATAGCGGCTTCCTTTTGCAATGCCCGGCCAATCACGAGGCGGTGTGTCATTTCTCGCCCAATCGGGAGAGGTGCTTTGGCGTCCGCCAGACGGAACCCCAGTTTCTTGTGATGTAGCCGCTTGCCTTCACCTTCATTGGTTGATGCTGGTCACGCCCTCCCGCCGTGTGTGGAGGCGGAGGGGACGGCCGCTCATCGTCTGTGTCTCCCGATCTGTTTACTCCTCGCGCTCGGCTCCCCAGCGGCGGCTGAGTGGGTGGCGGCGGCGGCGGCTGCAGCA